ATTTCTCCATATTGGTCAGGCTGGTCTTGAACTCCCAACCTCAGGTGATCTGCCCGCCTCGGCCTCCCAAAGTGCTGGGACTACAGGCGTGAGCCACTGGGCCCTGGCCTATAAATTCTTAAGAAGATGCATTCTGTAAAGTGGACATAAGAAACATAAGAAAGCAGAGTAGTAAAAATGTATACGGCAGCTAAGTACTTTTGTAAAAAGATGTGGTTTGGTTTAAATAAAGATGGTGAATATTAAATAAAATTAATATCAAGTAAAAATATAATCATGTTGATTCCATTTTATTTTTTCTTTCTAATGCTAAAATAATAGATAAGAAAATCAGATTGTTCTTATTTTAGAAGTAACATTGCTCAATGTTTACAAAATGCTCATACGCTTTCAAGATAACAATGAAAAACTGTTAATAAAGTCATTTTCAGATTTGCAGAAATTTCAAACACTGCATTCCCTAAAAATAAACATGGATAAGGATTAGGTAAGGATTAGTAAACTGGTTTTCTGATATACTGAATTTCACGTCTTAAACATGATCACAGAGTTTCAGAATTTCAAGAATAGGGCTGCATGAAGTTATTCTAGAAGACAGTTATTCATACTTTAAAAAGAAATTCTAGAGCAAGGACCCCAATTTCCCTCGCTAATTATTGGGTTTCACACCTTCTATTTAGAATTCTTTTTTTCTTTTGAGATGGAGTTTCACTCTGTCGCCCAGGCTGAAGTGCCATGGTGTGATCTTGGCTCACTGCAACCTCTGCCTCCTGGGTTCAAGCTGATTCTCATGCCTCAGCCTCCCGAGTAACTGGGATTATGGGCACGTGCCACCACACCCAACTAATTTTTGTATTTTTAGTAGAGACGAGTTTTCACCATGTTGGCCAGCTGGTCTCAAACTCCTGACCTCAGGTGATCCATCCGCCTCAGCCTCCCAAAGTGCTGGGATTACAGGCATGAGCCACCGTGCCTGGCCGATATTTAGAATTCTTAATACTACATCTCTGTTGCAATTGAAGTTCTTTTTTCAGCAAAAATACTTTTTTTCTTAAAGCACTAGGTTACCTTGTCTTTTTATGTATCTGATGAATAAAACTGAATTCTTCCTGCTTTCTTGCTGAAATACAAAACCAATTTATAGGCTCTATTAATTAAACCTATTTTAAGAAAGCAAACCTTTCCTTCTGTGAAATATGAAATATGTATCATCTTTAATAGTATAATTCAAAATTATTTAAAGTTAGACTTTCAGTCAAGCAAGGGTTCTCACCTTGGCTGCTGCTGATGGAAGATCAAATGGAATACGCTGTCTGACTTTAGGGGGTAGCTGGGTTAAAACTTCAGTCTTTAATCTTCTAATCATTATGTCACTTAATAGCTGGTGAAGTTCATTAAGATTTGATGCCCCTCTACAATCCCACTGAGGTCTTTTACCAAAATATCTGTTAAAATGAAGACAAAACATGTAGCAAAATTGAATGCTGGAGTTAAGAAAACAATTTATCCAATGTGTTCTTCCTTTTAATAAGGAGCCATGACACTGTTTTCATTGTTATTTCTGAATGAACATTAGTTTCAAAAAGCTCAGCCTGAAAAACAGTAATGAATAAGATTTGACACTACTCTAAACTAGAGAAGATGTTAGTGTCTAAGCATACTGTTTACACTGAGTTAATACAAGACTGTGATGAACTGATGACTCTGAATTGCACTAGGTCACTGTTTGTAAATGGGGGTGTCATTGGCATTTTGGGTGGGCTCACACATGGTGGTGTTTTAGCAGATCTATCCATAAAGTAGGCATGAACTGCCAGTGCATCAGCCAGTCATTATAATAACCAAAACCACCCAGAACATTTTCTGTGCCCTCTAGGAGGAGATATGATCTCCAATAGAGCTGTTAAAGCATAGCAGATTGATTACACGGTGGTCTCTTCTTCCTTTGAAATACTTCTTCCTTTCCAACCTTTTGCTGCATTGACAGCAAAGGGATAAAATAAAAGAACACAAAACTACTATGAAAGACAGAATGAGAGAGGAGACATCAGAGAATAAGTGATTCGAAGAAATATTTAGAAGGCATAATGCAGACAGACAAGTGGTAACTGACTTGGCAAAAGAAAGGAAGTGATAACTTAAACTGCTTGCAAAAGACAAGTTACTCTCTAGACTTTTGAGAAAATCAGAAGCTCGAAGTGCCAAGTACTGTGAACAAATGTTAAGAGAAGGGTTGAAATCTAGTGGATCAATTGAACTTACACGTTACGACAATTGATCCAATAACACATCCCTATCAATGTGACAACCAAAATACCACCCCATAAAATTTCCAATCATCTCTTAGGGATCCATACTACCCACTATTGAAAACAGCTGTTAGAGAATAATTAACAAATAAAAAATTCCTGTTAGGTTGGATTATGATTACTAATATTGATAATTTAAGTAACTATCCATTTTACTGGATAAAAAATACTGGGTGCATTTTAGCATAAATAGGTGTCAATTTGAGAAATATGAAACTCATTTTTATTTATTAGCTTTTTAAAAAATAAATATTAAACATAAACAATACACACAATATTAAAAAAGATATACTTGTAGCTGGGAGCGGTGGCTCACGCCTATAATCCCAGCAGTTTGGGAGGCCGAGGCGGGCAGATCACAAGGTCAAGAGATCGAGAGCATCCTGGCCAACACAGTTAAACCCTGTCTCTACTAAAAATACAAAATTTAGCCAGGCGTAGTGGTGTGCGCCTGTAGTCCCAGCTACTCAGGAGGCTGAGGCAGGAGAATTGCTTGAACCCGGGAAGCAGCGGTTGCAGTGAGCCGAGATCGTGCCACTGCACTCTAGCCTGGCAACAGAGCGAGACTCCATCTCAAAAAAAGAGAAAAAAAAGATATACTTGCATGTAGAGTCAATTACATAACTATAGTGAATGAATGGAAACTACTGTATGATAAAATTATACACATACCACTTAGTTGTCATCAAAAAGAAATTTACTTGTTTAAAAAATCTAAGTGCTGTCACTATATAAAAATTTTAATGGATTTACTTATAATTGTTATAAATTAAATTGCTGAAACTTGTTCATTAAAATATTTTGACTTCCTTTAATGTATTGTGTCCCCATATTTATATTAAAAATTCACACACTAATAAAAATGGGAAAATACTTGCCAACACCTATTCTGCACCTATTTTTCCATTCATACACTTAGGTATATTTTGATCACATGGTTACAAAAAAAAATCTAACATTCAGAACTATCAATATTGGGAAGAAGTTGGTAGGTGGTGTTTTTTGTTTTGTTTTGTTGAAAATGCAGTGTTTGCCATTAAAACAGATTCTTAAGCACACTCTCCACTTACATGAGACATTGTACAGGTGTACAGTATGCTAGCTGGAGGTCTTTTGGTATGACTGCTACATGCTGGCAAAGACAACAGACAAGTGTCTTCAAACAGGCTAACCACATAGCCACACTTGCCTCCTGCAGAGTACCAATAGTTGTACTCCCAAAATGCAAATCTGTTTTGAAGTCTGAGCAATCTATTTTCAGGGTGTCATAATGCCAGGACTCAGTCTGTAACAATGAGGTTTCCTTACTGCTGCAGGAGAGGGTACACTATTGAGATAAGTTTTTGCTAGTTGCCTCCTGGGTCTTATGCCACTGGTTGATCCTAAACCATATGCCTAGTATGAACCATGGTTTAGAGGAATTATTTCTTGTTACCCACTCTCCCCACCCACATCTCTTTCATCTACAGCTTGGAGTGGTGGCATTTGTTCTAAAGACTGGTAACACCACCATATTTCCCAAAACCCCAGCCTCATGTTTGGGGTGCAAAGGGGAAGTAAGAGGGATTAGAGAGGACTAGAAGAGGTGCCACCTGTAAACCCCTAGTCTCTTTAAATTTGCTGAATTTGAAGAATTTGCCCAACATCTCATGGATAGTAATAGTGGTGCTGAGATTTGAAGTTGGGCAGTCTGACTCCAAAGTCTTGCTTTACTAAAAGCCAACTTTTACCTAATAATATAAAAATTATATTAAATATATTTCTTGGGATTATTTTCCTATGCTGTTTACACACTATTTTTTGTGTGTGTGTGTGTGTGTGTGTGTGTGCGCGCGCGCGCGCTGGGGGCAGCTACACAAAAGCAGGAGATTCTGGGACTAGGTAACATTCCTAACTTTAGGTTCTGGCCTTTATTTTTCTTAATTCTCAATTCCTACATGTATAAAATGGGAAGATCCACTGTTTGGGGGACGGTTGAATAAAATGTGGGGCATGCCAACTATGGACTATTAAGCAACTATTCCTAAGAATCATTTAGATCTTTATGTAAGGGGTAAGATGAATGTCGAAGATATGTGTTAAATTAAAAATGGAAGTCTCAGAGTAATATGTTTGGTATGAAGGATTATGTAGGTGTGTAGATGTGTGTATATATGTATGTCTGTATAATAATGGAAGCAGTTCCAGAAGAATACACATCAAGATATGATACACTGCATACCTTCGGGGTCATAGTGGTAGAGACTGAAAAGATTACATGAAAACTGGGGTCTTGTAACCTCATTTTGTTTTCACTTTGTCTATCTGAAAGTTTACAATAAGCAAATAATGCTTTTGTAATTAAAATTCAATGAAGTAAAAAGAACCTTAAAAAAAATACCTTCAATAGCTCCCACTTCATAGCATTGGTCTCCAAAGTGTGAGGATGGGTAGACTCCAGAGACGTTTGAGTCAACCCACTGAGGGGCAGAAGGAACTTTCTCTATATATTGTATTCTTATCTCAGGTTTCTAAATTAGCTTCTCTTTCATGTAAGTTTTAAAATATACATAATGCTTAGAATAGTAACATGAATATAATTCATGCATTGGCAGTATGCTAAAAAACAATGCTTTAAAATGGGGTGTATACAGAGTTGAGGAGACTGGCAAGTGCCCAGCAGGCACAGGCACAACTTGACTGACAGAATTGGCCAGTAAAGATACAATGAGCCCTTTTTAGAGTTAGACACTTTTGTTACTTATACAGAATTACAAATAAAAAATTAAGTACAAATCTGAGTCTATAATGAAAAAACCACAAATTACACAAAACAAAAAATTTATAAATGCTTACAGATGTTCCTAAATCCAGAAAAATAACACTTTCTAAATTAATTAACCACTTATCACATCTATAATGTTTTTTCAACATTGTTCACTGCTTACGCTTTGAGTGCCTCTTCAGGTGACAATAACTTTGAAATATTTGAGAAATAGGATACTTCAGTCTTTACTCAAGCATGGATGATCGAATTTTGTTTACCAATGATAATTTTTTAAAGTTTATTTCAAGTTCATAATTCACTGTCATACTCTGTGTGTACATATATTTCTAATTATAATCAAATTTGAAAAAAAAAACCTCTATCAAATTTCTGTCAAATATAGGCTATAAGAATTGAAAGAATTATTTGCAGATTATCCTCTGGCTCTCTAAATTTCAACCTTGCTTCTCTTCCAGTACTCACATGTTCCCAGCATCTGGCACCGTAAGACACGTTCGCACTGCAATATGTCCACTTAGCCAGTACCAGGATTATTTCTGGAAGCCATTCCTATACTAGGTTGGCTAGCAATAACCTAACTAAATACATAAATATAGCCCACTAAATCAAAACCAAACATACCCCTAATATAATTTCTTCTTAGCTTGGTCCGAACAACGCTTGGTGATAACTCCACAATCACAAAACACAAGGAAAAATATGAGAAGAGGAAGTTGTGCGGAAAAGAGATCTTTTAATATATTAAAAGTGTCTACTTGTATAAATTTGATAGGTACATATGATCCTGTGAAAACTGCCAAAACTTCCTCCTAGGGTCCTGAAATGGCCTAAAAAGTGAGTGATTCTTTTTTTCCCCCCAACAGATGGGCTCTCACTATGTTGCACAGGCTAGAATACAGTGGCCATTCACAGGCACAACCATAGTGCACTGTAGCTTGATCTCCTGGGCCCAAGTGATGATCCTGTTTCAGCCACCAAGTAGCTGGGACTACAGGCACATGCCACCAGGCCCAGCTAAAAGTGAAAGATTCTGAAGATTAGGGTCCATAGTTTTATGGCAAGGAAAGAAAATTATAAAACAAATTTGTAAATGCATTATCAAAGAGGTAAAGTGCATAGAAGAAAGAGAAAAGGTGTAAATGAGTAAGAAAAATATTTTTAAGGACAAAGTATAAGCAGTATGCTTTGGGTGTAGGTTTAAAACAAAAGGATACTTAATTCCTAACAAACTAAAATTAGCAACAACAACCAAAAAATTGTAAATGTCTCTGAAGACATTATGAAACGTGAACCTTCTTTTGAGGTTAGAATAATTATTTTCTCATTCAGTTTTACAAAGTAAGTAAAAATTCATTTATCCTTTTCTAAA